ACCACGAACTAAGATAATATATTATTATAGTAGTGTTCATATTATTTTAATTTATAAGTATTTATAAATAACTTAATAGAAGGTACCTACCAACACAATAATAATACCGACGAAAACAAAATATAAAACATGACAAATTAGATTTATCATGGTTTAAAATATATTGATACCTTATTATGGGTTATCAATGTTATCATATTATTAAAACTTTTATTTTACGCTTATCAAATATTGGTGTTACCGTTCCGTTTCTTCTAAGCGTTTCTCTACCTGAGTATCTGACTATTATCATTATGTTGTAAAGCAGTAAAGCTAGAACTAAAGCTAGAACTTTTTTTTTCAAACTTATATTTTCTCTTAAGTTATCATTCATAGTTTAAGTTGTGTATTAAATATTTTAAATATTGTGAGTTCAAGTTTAAAATGTAGTTTGATGTAAATTATAAAACAGTTAACTATGTTATTATTTTTTATGTGGTTGCTGATCTCAACCATATTTTCAGCATACTTTTCTGCTCGTCTTTTGTATATGATTTTGCAACGTATAACTAATTCAAAATCTCATAGAGAATCAAAACAATCTATTCGAACATTAATTGTCATTGGTTCAGGYGGACATACAGCCGAAATGTTGCGTTTAATGAATACTATGAACAAGTTGAAATTTGTGCCACGTTTGTATCTATTAGCCGATTCAGATACAACAAGCCGTAACCGTGTAGAAAACAATGAAAGTGGTATAGATTGGTCCATAGCAACTATACCTCGATCAAGAYATGTCAATCAATCATATGTAACGTCTATTTTTTCAACTATTTATGCAATTATTTTAACTGTGCCTGTGGTCATATCATTCAAACCTGATTTGGTTTTATGCAATGGACCMGGTACTTGTGTTCCAGTTTGTCTGGTTGCTTTCATGATGAAATTATTCCATTATGCAGATATATCGATTATATTTGTAGAAAGTATCTGCCGGGTAAAGTCTCTATCTCTTACTGGAAAATGTATGTATTTTATTGCYGATTTAATAATTGTTCAATGGCCTGAATTGAGACAAAAATATGGACAAAGAGTCCTCTATCTTGATGAAGGATTGACCTCATGAATTTATTGTTTAATGTAAATAACTTCTTACATTTAATTGTTTATGTAAATTATTAATTTATATTAATTATATTGTATTGAAACTTGAAACTATGTTTATAAATTATATTCTTAATTCCTGGTTTTCAAAATTCAAAATTTGTATTAAATAATAAGTTATAATAGAGATCAGTGGGTCACTATCAAATTATAATAAATAAAAAAACCTTTGGCTTACATTATATACCTATTATATATTTGTTAAGTTACTAAAATTAATATGATGAATAATGTATAATATATTTTTATTTATTCTAAACAGTGTACTCACTTTTTAAATGTTTTGTCAATCTTCATATTTTTATAATTTCTCTAAAAAAAAACAACAATAAATCAATAGTAAAAAAATAATTATAAAATATAAATGATATAAAATAATAATCAATACCTACTTTAATATTTCATGTACAAATTATATAACCAATAATGTATTGAATTGTATTATTTTAGTATAAAGATTAAACAAATGTATACAGTATAGCTAATTTATGTTCAAAATAAAAAATCAATATACCATGCAAATTAAAAGTTTAAATTACATTAACTCAAAAGGATTACCTTCTTCAATCTAAATTATGATTATCAATGATTAATTAGTAATCGAGAAACTCCAAGATTAATAATAAATGAATCGGCTATGAATTTATAATGTATAGTGTATACAATAATAGTATAAAAGGTAATGTATTTATCTAGTATATTATACAAGATTYCTATCAGTAAACTATTAAATATTGAAATGATTTGGAGTGGAGAAATTAATTAGAAACCAAAGCGCTAAGTCATAAAAACATCTAACCAATTTTCAATAGTCCTCTWGATGGAAATAGTGTCATAGTGATGGACAAAACTACAATAGTGTATGTTTGTGATTATTTAAGTGAGTAAAACTATRTTAAAACTAAGTAGGTAGTACGTAACAATTGTTAAAAATCTATAGTAATAGTTTTATAGGTACAATTATGATATTATATACAGTGAAACCTCCTTTAATGGATACCTCTTAATAGCTGACACCTCCGAAAAACGGACGGAATTTTGGGAATGGTGAAATTTGTACTCCCTGTGTTTCCCCTCTTAATAGCGGACGACATTTAAGCGACCGAGAGTGTCAGGCATTTAGAGGTTTCACTGTATATATTATAAATAATATTATAATGATATCTATTATCTAGTGATTAAAAATAATAATATAATGTTACACTCATTCAGGCGCGTATGATGATAGGACAAGAGGTTAAGTTATTGAACATTATTTTTATAATATCCAATAAGTTAGMATTTGGATGTATGTAATTATTGACTTGAGAAAAAAGTATGCTTAAATATACTGGAGTTACATATATCACAGCCATGTTGTCATTTATGGATGAATGATAGGTAGCTAGAGTTCACTGGCTCATTCAATTTATAGGTACTAACATTATAATAAACATATTCGATTTTTCCTACTGATGTTCTTGGTTCAGTGTTTTTTTTTAATGCTTTAAGTCGTATCTAAAAGGTTTGAGATCGGAAGAGGCATTTTCCACAACTGCGTGAAAAACAATTGTGAAATTATTTAAAAGTTTGTCAAAAAAAGTTGAAAAATTAAATACAAAGTGTGTCTCCTTGATGCGTACCTAATGGGTGATAAAGCTTCACCAGTCTATTCTCTATATATCCACTAGTCTCTGCGTTATGCGGGTATGCCGCATTGATAA